CTTCTTCTTCTTCTTCTTCTTCTTCTTCTTCTCCTTCTCCTTCTCCTTCTTGTCCTTCTCCTCCTCCTCCTCCTCCTCCTCCTCATTTCTTGCTTGTTAGATCACAAAAATAGTTGAAAGCAGGGTAAAAGAAAAAAAATCATCATCGCCGACAACATTAACAAAAAACAAAGAAAGATGTCATCAAAACCAAACCCAATAAGCCCACTTCGCTTTGCCTTGATTCCGCCAAATTATCACTTCTTTATCATAATTTACCATGTGATCATGTATACACACATTTCTTTTTACCAACGTTTCACTCAGCACGATGGGGTACCAAAAAAAAAAAAGGAGAGGAGAGCCATAGTTATAGAGTAAAGGGCTGTACGTGTGACTTCCTGTATCTTCATACATATAACTGTGGCATTTCTGCAAAGGACAACATTCTTAGTGAACGCCTGGCTGGATCCGAATGGCTTCTTAACTCATTACAGACGGGCATTCTGGTAAGCGCTGTTCGAGTCTACTTCTTTAATAATACAAGTTTTTACTTCTGTTTTATTTGCCCGAAACCTTAAAATATTGTCACAGACATGCACGCTATAAACTAAGCAAATTTGTGTTTCAGATGTGTGTATAATGGGGCAAAATGTGCTAGAATATTGCCTGTGGTCTTCTTACTGGACATTGTTTCCGCTACGTCTTCAAAGAGTTAACAGTTTGAAAAGCCTGCACTTACCAGGGTAAAGAAATAACTCAAAGACTCAAAGCAAAGGAAAGAAGTCTCAGAGTAAACGTCGTTGGAAAAATTGTCTGCGCGCGGATGTATGTGTGTATGTGTGTGTGTGTGTGTGTTTGTGTGTGTGTGTTCGTGCGTGTGTGCAACGTGTGTGCAACATGTGCGTGTGCGCTTAAATCTGTGTGTCACTCTCTGCCCCCCCCCCTCTCTCTCTCTCTCTCTCTCTCTCTCTCTCTCTCTCTCTCTCTCTCTCTCTCTCTCTCTCTCTCTTTCCCTCCGCCCTATCTCTCTCTACTCTCTCTTTCTCTCTCTATCTCAGTCTTCTCAAACGTTCCTTTAATTAGCCCAACCCTTTGTACTTGCCATCACACCCTCCTCCCGTTGTCGACACAGATCAATCTTTATAGTTATAGTGAACACAACTCTGTAAATTCATTGCCCGTGAAATCTCGCTCATACATTTATAAAACCTTAGATGAAAATGAAGCCAAAAATATTTAAAAAATCTAAAATAAAGAAAGAAACATAAAGAGGAACAGCCGTCTTTAAACCATGATCTCGTATGTAAATGATAATATATTTTTCAAAGAAATACTTTGTAATATTATCATCACAGCTTTAGATCTATGTAATTTACTAAAAACGCAATGGAACATTACAACAAGAGCACACAGTTGCTAGCCCCCTTCATGTGACAGTCACCTACGTCAGGATTTTGAATTGTGAGAAAAAATCTAAATATCAAACTCAAAGTGCAGAGCTTTTCAGCTTAGTGAGAGTGAGAGTTTTACGACCCTTGCAAGACAAATGGGTCATCTAAGTAATGAAGATTAGAGGTGCTAGACGAGAACACAATACACTAAAGAAGGAGCAAACAACATCAAAGCACCCGCCAACCACCCTTCAATGGTTTTATTTCAAAAGCACTAAGTCCGTTTCACTTGCCTGACGACAGAAAAGGCTTCAGTTATTTCAATCCTTATCTTCTTTTAATCACCTCCACTTTCTCCCCTATTTCCTTACCCTGCTTTTGAAAGGTCAGTTTCGTGTCGCCATGTCCCCTTCCGGTAGATGCTATTAAGATAAAAACATACAGACCTTCTCCCATCCTTTCTTCTTCCTTTTCTAATCCGAACTGATGACAGCTATTCTTGTGTGTATCTGGAAGTCCCGCAAACCTTGCTACGATTAAAAAATAATGTCAAGTTCCCAACCTCAGACATATTGGATTTTTTTTTCATATCACGCTTACACCCCTCCTTC